ACTTGTCTTCAGCCCTGGTCTTGGACATCGGTTTGGTAGTTCGGGGATGTTCGAAACTCCATGGGTTGGCTACAGACCATCGGTGAGGACTAGTTGCAACACAGCTTGTTTTTCTGTCATTTCCCATTCCTGGCTTGTCCCTTACTCGCTCGTAAGTGTTAAATCGCTGCTGACGTGGCAGCGCTCTCCCAGTTAGGGAAGGGCAACGCGTATAAATCCCGGCGGCAGAGCTGCTCGCGAGCCGAGCCCGCGAGGCGGTTGCTGGACGGGGCCACGGTTTGAGAGTGATTTTGTGCTCCTTGAGGTTGAAAGGTGCTGTATATAATTTGGGATGGGAAATGGATATCATAAACAAAACAATCTTGTACATTGTAAAGCTCTGGGGAGGGAGACCCGTAAACACCTGCTGAAGTGGGCGATGACAGCTGGCGGTGCGCTCGGGGTCAGGCTTCCCTCTGCAGCTGTGCTCGCGTTCTCGAAGGAGAAACCAGCCTCTTTGCACATCCTTAAGGAACTATTCTCCCTGGCTGCTTGTAGAGCAGGAATCAGAAACCATATATGCCGCAAAACATTTTTTTTAAGAAAGAGAGAGGTTAATGGGGTCTGAAAAACAGTGTAACATGACCGGCTTCACATCTGGAAAAGAACATAAACCAACTTGTTCTGTCAGGAAGATTTTTCATTTTCTGTATGTTGTTTCAACTTCTAGGTTATGTGAGGAAGAAGATACCTAATTGTTTGACAGATTGCACAACTTAGTCTGGAGTTTAAATTGCCATTTTATGCAATATTATCAAAGGCAGTGCAGAAACTTTAAATGTTTCACAGGTAAACAGTTTACATAAGCGAATTCTGAAATAAAAAGAACGTCTTTGTTATTATGCAGCATGCCCAATAATACTTCTGAAACTTTGTTTTAAACACCTACTATTTAACCAAATAAGGTATTCATACTAGAAATATATAGTTATTTTGCCCATATCTTCTCTTTCTGTAATGCTTACGCTTCTGTAAAGCGAAACTTGAGAACTTTATCTTCATTTAACGTATGATATATAGTTCTGTGTGTATGAGAAACTGAAGAATCTGGATGCAAGTGGTGAATCAGTACATAAATCCATGTTGTCAGGTCTGTGCTGTGAGTGTTCAGAAATTCAGTTTTAACGACTTGATAATTATTGTAGATCTCTGCTGGGACTCCATGAAATTCGGGGGGGCTTGTATCAGTATAATCTGTCCTACAAAAGACACAGGTTTGCTAGCTTAACTGTATGGGATAGCAAACCCAAGTCTGTGTAACGGGGTCGCCACATGAGAGCCTTTCACTGCATGATAGGAAGAATAAACTCATCCAAGACGAGGCACATTTCAGACCATCTGTGATAGGTATCAAAGCGCTGTAATTCTGTTGATGAAGACGTCACACTCCTTTCTGTACAGAATTAAATGAGCGTAACTTGTGAGTTTAGATGAATTCCGTGTTACAGTGGTCTGGTCCTAAGAGAGTTTTGAACCGTATTTAGATACCCTCGGTTCAGCTGAAGCCCAGATGCGTAACGTTCCCTCTCTGGCCTCTGGTGGACCTGTCCTCCGCGCTGTCCTTTGGCCTTATAAGTCACTTTTCAAAGGCCTTCAGAGGTACCCAGCTGTCTCCTTTGACGAGGCACAAGGACTTAAATGGAGTGTAGGCTGTCCAAATGTGGTGGTCTGGGTTGCATTTGTACCATAGGAGCAGGACTTTCATTTATTCTTATTTTTCTACTCTGAAAAGAAGCCTAGGAGATGTACAAAGATACAGACGTATATCTATATAGATGTATCTACAACTAACTTTTTCTTACTTTTCTGAGATGCTGCTGAAAAGGATGTGGCATCACAGTTTGTCAGTGAGTCTTCATTTTTGGTAACCTCCTTTTGTTCATTGCATTTTGTACACAACCATGCGTCTTAAAGGCTTTTAAGCCCCAATGAGTAAATTGAGCAAAGTCTCCGTAGTTTGACTTAAAATATTCTCTGCCAACAGAAAGAGATCAGTAGGTTTCCTTGGCATTGTGGCCTTATTTTGTTTTAAAACTGGTAAACAAACAATTTTCATGTGAGGGGTTGAGCAATCAAATTCTGATCTGTTCAGAATTTTTTTGTTACATTATTTGATTTTATTTTCGTGATGAACAGCTGAATAATTTTCAGCAAAGGAAATAAAAATAGTAATAGAGGCAGTTCGCTAACTGCTAAATAGCTCCTGGCAACCGTGCTCATACTTGATTCCTTTAAGGCAGTCCCACCGCACTCAGTGGAGTTGCGGGATTTGGGGAATAAAAGGACATCTCTGTCTCCCTGGGCATTACATAAATTTCCTTCCCAGGTTTTCTCTGCACCTTGATATTCAAAGGCTGTTTCAAGGTCGTGTGTATGAGGCAGAGAAAGTAAGTAGAGACAAGGAATTCATTACTTCCCAGAAATTTTCACGTGGGAAAGATTAACGTTAGCCGGTCAGATTAGCATCTACCCACAAAATAATTCCAGGTGAGTCACTGAGCGCGGCGCTGCTCAGCGTTGGCAGGAGGGGTAGGCAGCGAGCGCCCGGGCAGGCAGCGCTGCGAGCGCCCGACGCAGCTCTCCCAGCGTAGGCTCCTCCCGCGGGGAGCAGCGTGGTCCTTGCCTGGGGCCTGGGCTTTGGGGTCACCTTCCCCAAGCGATCGCTGGCGGCCACAAAATGAGCCCCTCGCAGCGAGCCGGAGTTGTGACCTGTCTTTGACTGTCATCCAGGCAAGTGAAATAATTACGCTGACAATCATGTTATCGAGGCACTTCGGAGCTAATACCTTAATTACACAACTTCTTTGGGTTATTTCTGCATTCTCCCTGCAGGCTCATGGAAGTCAGGGCTATATCACAGGAGGTTTTTTTGGTTACCGCTGTGTCCTCTAGACTTGTTAAGAGATGGTGAAGTTCACCAGCAAAATATTTGAGTGTGCACACTAACTTTGCTTCACATTTCTGAGCTTTCCTTCACAGCGGTTTCAGGCAAAGACTTTCAATCTGTTCACGTGAGGAAAAGCTGTTCTTGAATTTGTACACCTCAATAATTCAATGTGTGGGTGCTTATTCTAATACAAGGTTGCCTTCCTCCAGTTTAATGTAACATTTCAGCAAAGATATCACACTTTAATAAAAGTTGATGTTTACAAGGTTACATTTCTCTTCCAGACAAGTCCTCACTATTTTTAAGGTGGAAGCAGATATTCCATAGAGAAGTGTTTTCAGAGCAGGGATGGTGTTGCGTATAAATGTACACTGTCTCTTTCAAGCTCTGATGCGGGGTTGAAGTGGGACATTTTGATTCCATCTTCAAGTACCATCCCAGAACAGGCCCATTATTTCCTCTGGGAAAGCAAATCTAAAATTCTTTCTCTAAACAAACATAACTCATCAATTCCCTTTCTGTCAGCATACAACTTCATGACTCCTCTTTTGCTCTTTTTGGTGATTATTTTTACATGTCTTTCACATATGTACTCATTCATCCGTAGTCATGAGAGGTGCTGACAGGAAAAGGACGACTCCTTTCAGTACCTTTCAAAATTTTTGAAATTTAGATTTGTTCCAGAACTGAAAAAATCCAAACTGTTTCAGCAGTTTTGTCGAGACAGCATTAAATCTGAATATTTTCATACTGATAAAAATGGTCAGTTTTTTACCCCTTTCTTCCTTGAAACTGCATCATGACTGAGATAGTTTTATACAAATTTTCATCCAAATTAATACACCTTAATGAAATGTTTGGGCCTGGAGTTTTTTGTACCTCTATAAAAGACAGACCAGCTTGTGAACTCTGACTGGTGTGCACGTGGTCTCTTGCACACAGACACATTTCTAGGGTGGTGTTAATCTTAAGATTACAGCTCCTAAATGATTCTTTAGTGAATTAATAAGGTATCAGCTACTTTTACCGGTATCAGAATACCTCCACTTTAACAAAAAGGGAAAGCCAGAAATCTCTCTAAAAGTGAACGGAGGTCCAGATAGCTGCAGAAGTGAGCGCCTTCCGGGAGCAGCCGGCGCTGCGTTATTCCGCAAGGATGCCGCACGATTAACGGTGTCTGCCTGTCGCCTGTTCGGCATGAGAAATATCTGTTAGTTAAAAGCCCCTCTGCCCGTCCCAAACCGGGCAGAAACAGCCTAAACCTCAAAGGAGGGCGACCGGAGGAGGTGCATCTGAGGGGGTGGCAAGCCCTTTCCAGGTGGCTGGGGCGGGGGGGGGGGGGGGCGGGGCGGGGCC